AGCCGGGATTTAAAAATGGCGGCTTCCCGCTTATGCAAATGAAGCCCGGGAAATTCAAATCCCGGGCTTCATTTGCAAGTGCGGTATGCCTACACTACCCTCCTAGTTCGAACTAGGAGGGTAGTGTAGACATACCCTGAGAAATTTGGAGTAGTGCTCTTTTTTTCTGCACAGCTAAATCAATGCTTAACGTTTGAAAACTAGAAGAAAATGGTGTTAGAAATCAAATTGACTACAGTCTGTTTTTGTTAAAACACAGAAAATAGTTTATGGGACTGAAGAAAAAATACAATTGATGGAATTCCCATTTTAAAATGTACTACAAAATTATTAAACAGGAAAAATTTAACAATCTCTTTAAGAAATCCAAGATAAAAATTAACTTCATAAAAATAACTATTTGAAAACTACAATCATTTAAAGAAAGCATTTTTTACAAAATATAAAAAAATTAACTGTGTCAAGAACCTAAGCAATACCAGGTAAATCTGTCAGTATTACCTAAAAGTTCTGAAATCATCACTTTCTGATAAACTTTATAATTTGCCAAAATAAACCCTTTTTTTGGTTTTCTGCTATTCTCTCTGCACCCTGTGTATTTGCTGTTAGTTTACTTTCCTTTTATACAACTTTAGGGCCAAATCCTAAAAACCCTTTTAAGCATGATTAAAAGTTTGCAGGACTAGGCCCTTTAGACTATAGGCTGCATGACAAAGGGATATTCTTGATTGATTTTTATCTGTATTGAGGTACATATGTTTGGGACAAATTACATCTACTATCAGGTCTGGCCTTACTGTGAGGCGGCCGCCTCAGGTGCCAGACTGTAGAAGGCGAGAGTGTCACTATAATATGTCAAAGTAGTCAGGGAAGCCATGCCTACAGATTATTGAATATGCTAAATGTAGAAACTTCTTTTTTTTTTTAAATGATTACAAGTCTTGTCACCCTCTTTCAACCATTATTTCTAGTTCCAGTAAGATAATAACATGACAGATATATAGAATGAAACACCATAGTTCCTCAAAAGACCAAATTACAGTAGTCTAGCCATGACCTGTTTCTGTGGATAGAAGAGCCATAAAATAATACCTTGGAAAAGTAGATTTTTTTAACTATACATTTGCATAGCTGCATATTTTTATTCATGCTCTTTAACAGCTAATGATTAGTTTACCTTTTTGTACTAGTACAGTTTTATAAGATCCCCTCAAAGTTCACAGTGAAAAAGATTGAAAAGAATCAAAAGAATGAATTTTAAAAGTTCCAAAATGCTGCTTCAGTTCTTCAGGCAAGAGCAGCGTTAAATTGATGATTCAAAGAAAAGTTAGTTTGTCACTTCAAGATTGGTATAAATAATGTTTTAAATTAAAAATAGAATAAGCAAGAAATTTTGAAAGTGCCAGGATGTGGGAATTCTGTATTTTATTTGTGCCTGTTGCATCTTCCTAGAAAACATAGGTATGGGAATTAGAAATGTGGGGTGATGCTTGGTTCCTCTGCCCCCCAGCCTCAGCCTCCTTTCTTCTTCAGGTCCCCTCTCCCTTCCCTGGTTTACACTAAGGCTTTGTTTTTAAATAACCCCCCTTAGGTCAAATTTATAAGGGGAGCATCCACATTACCAAGTTCATTACTTTTAAATAAGGAGCCACTTATTTCTTAATCTGTACTCCCTGTTTTTCTTGGGGAATAACACTAATTTCAAAATAATTATTTTGAAATAGTTGTAGTGTGGATGCTCCAGTGCCTCTATTTTGAAATAACTACTCCACACAGTAATTATGACTAATTACTCTGTAGTGCTTCCTGTGGCTCCAACTCAAGGTAGAGCATCTATATTAATGGAGCCTGCCTCAGACTAATTTTGAGGCTTCCATGTACTGTAAAACTCCAATAGTCCGGCATCAAATAGTCCGGCACTCCTGATAATCCGGCATCAAAATGGCAAAAGCCTAGTGAGTGAGCTTCGGCAAAAAATGAGTCACAAGGTAACAGCGGCAGCAGCTGAACTGAGCAAAAAGGATAAAAAAGGCTTAAAAAAACTAAAACTTTACAGTATACTGTATACAGTATGTACAATAAAAAGGGTTTAGAACACCTTATATACAGTATATACTGTATACAGTATATATATAAAACCATCTTATAGTACCTCCTGATAGTCCGGCATATCTGATAATCTGGCACCTCCTAGGTCCCATATGTTCTGGATTATCGGAAGTCTACTGTAGTAGGGGCACACTAGTTCTATTTTGTAAAACTAGGAGTTAAGTTGAATTTAGTTTAGTTTCCTAGAATAGACATGGCCCCTGAGATACAACCCTGTCTGCTCCCGTCCCAAGCTAGGGTGTGGTGGACAGGGGTTATGGGGCTGATTTTCAATACCCCACTATTAAAAATGTGCTAGTGCCACTGCTAGAAAATAGCTGATTTTGTGTCTAAAGATACGCATTTAAAAATACTTCATTACCATTTTGTAAATGAATTAGCAGCTCTCGTCTCTTTGCCACCATGTATATGCTTGTGGATAAGTCATAACTGGAATATTTTACAGCTCAGATGAAAATCCGTTTGGTATTTGTCATTTGCAATATTTTGATTAAAAGTATTATCAGCAGTGGGCGAGGGGTAGGCTGTGTCACCCAGGATGGCGATGGGCATGTCTACCTCCCTTACTGATGGTGCAGTCAAGGAAAAAAGTGTTGGCGTGCATCTTTTGGAACAGGAGAGAGTTCTGGAAGATCTGCACGTCATGTGCCTTTCCTGACCAGCTAATGTTGATGTCGGTGAAGTGTACCTTGTGATCAACGAGGGCCTGCAACACCATGCAGAAGTACCCCTTTCTGTTGATGAAGTCTGAGGCCTGGTGGCCAAAGTGGGGATGTGCATGCCGTCTATGCCTCCCACCCCATTTGAGGAAGCCCATGGCAGCAAAGCCATCCACGATGCTGTCCACGTTCCCAGATTGATGGAAGTAAAGAAGAGCCCATTTGGCATATGGTGTACAGCTAGGGATGTCAGTGGTTAATTGGTAAACATGGCCTTACTGGGTGGTGCTTACTGGTTACTAGTTAATCTACCTCACGGGTGGGGGACTGCTTTAGTTGGGCTGGGCCCACCACACCACAGGTAGGGGGTGCTTCAATCCAGCCAGGCTTGCCACACTGTGGGTAGGGAACCACTCCAGCCCATCCTGGCTGGAGTGGCTCGCTACCTGCCCCCATTTAAGTGGTTAACCAGTTAAATGTAACATTTAACGGGTTAACTGATTAAACAGAATTTTACATCCCTAGGTAAAGCATAGCTTTACACATTTTAATTGACACAGAATATTTAGACATATCTGTGGTTCCAACAAGATCCTTCCAGTGCCAGCCTTCGTGGTTCTCCTTTTTATACCAGTCCTCCATTATTGAAATAGCTGGGGAAAGTACGGTGGGGGTGAATCCTAAGTCCAGCCAAGCTCTGCTTGCCACAGGACCCAAGAAAGGATACGCCATTTTGTGGTTTCCTGAGCTGAGAATCTGAGTGTTGCTACATCTTACAACACAGCTCTCTATATCCCCAATGGTCCCTTCTATCAGGGTGCGTAGACAATGCACCCTTATCTCAAAACAAGCTACGCAATTTGAGCTAAGCAAATTGTGTAGCTTATTTTGAGTTAATTTCAAAATAGCTTGTTTCGTAATTTAGCGCTGTCTACACATGCCAAACTTCAAAATAAACTACTATTCTGAGATGTCCCTCAATCCTCGTGGAACGAGGTTTACAGGGATAGTAGAATAGTGAGCCCATTATATTTCAAAATAATGGGCTTGTTTCAAAGATGCAGAATAGCTATTTCAGGATACCGGAAGTAACTGTCTAGATGCAGCCTCAGAGAATAGAAGTATAGAAAAGTTATAGCCATTCCCTCTACACAGTTGGAATTGCTTAGTAGCTCTTTCAAACTGGTACAATGGTACAGGATATGTAGCAGACTCATGAATTGGCTCCAAACCATAAGACCTGCATCTGCTTGCTTAAATCTTCAAACTGGTACAATGGTACAGGATATGTAGCAGACTCATGAATTGGCTCCAAACCGTATGACCTGCATCTGCTTGCTTAAATCTGTCTGATGGTAGTAATGCCATCTGTCAGCGATTGGTAAAAAACTTGATCTCATTCAAGTTGTGTGTCCATGTTTGGAAAAAAAAAACATTTATACTTTGAAGACAAGAATTGCATGAGATGCAAACTGAGCAATCACCACATCACTAAATGTGGTTCCTCAAGGTCTGGACTAAAGTATATTGACAAGACATTTGTAGGAAGCCTCTAGAGCAGCTCTATAAGGTATACTGGTTCTGTAACTAGTCCAGTATCCTCAGTGCCTTTTTTGGGGGGGGGGTGGGGAAGGTGCCGGTACTGCAGGGGAAAAGTTGTTGAGCTTTCACTGGAGGTGCTGGTACTGCATACCGGGCAGTACAGTCACAAAAAAAGCACTGAGTATCCTGGATTATCAAGCCAACATTGTATGCCTTCACAAAATTCACTGTAAATTAAACACCAGTTAAAACGTCTCCAAATGAAAACTATTTTCTAGCAAGTCATTGTCACATGTACATCACTGTGCAACAGTTTTGTGATAAAGGTACCAATTTGAAGAACTGAAAGATACTAAAAAAATAGAATTAGTAATAGAAAAGAGATATAATAGTTTCTCCTTCTTGGCTTCCTGCATGTTAAAAATGAGTAGGTAGATGCGGATTGTGATGCTTTAAATAATACTTTATTATATGTGTTACTTTGCAAAAGGAAGTTTGGTAATTGTCATAAAATGGGAACTTCTGGTTCTGTGAATGTGTTACAAAAGTTTGGATTACACAACCGTATTGAGTAAAATGTCTAGATTTAGAATATGGGTCCAGTAAATGAGAGGACTATTCTACTGGGAAAGATTGTTTGCAAAAGTTTTAATGTATAGCAATACATTGTGGCTGTTTCTAGATTGGCAAGTTTTTCCGCAAAATCACATGATTTTGCGGAAAAACTTGCCAGTTGTCTAAACTGGCCGTTTGAATTTCCGCAAGAACACTGACGATCTCATGTAAGATCGTCAGTGTTCTTGCGGAAATACTGTGCTGCTCCCGTTCGGGCAAAAGCCCTCTTGCGCAAATCATGTGCGCAAGAGGGCCAGTGTAAACAGCACTGTACTGTTTTCTGCAAAAAAGCTCCGATCGCAAAAATGGTGATGGGGGCTTTTTTGCGGAAAACCGCCTCTAGATGGGCCACGGACGCTTTTCCGCAAAAAGTGCTTTTGCGGAAAAGCATCCGTACCAATCTAGGCGTGCTTTTCCGAAAATGCTTTTAGTGGAAAACTTTCCCGTTAAAAGCATTTTCGGAAAATCATGCCAATGTAGACGTAGCCTGTAAGTGCACCAATGGAAAAGCCAGATAACAATACAGAAGACCCTACCTAGTATCTGCATTAAGACAATTTTTTATTGTTTAAGATTATACTAAAGATCTTGAGACTTAGTAGGCAATATGGTGCTATTTTTCAATAGATTAAGTGAGACAAGTTAAAAACAAGGAAACTTTTTTTTACCTGATTGTTCTCAGTTTTGCAAACTCATATCTCTGCAAAGTGGATGTAAAATACTGCCATCTGGCTTTTTTTAGCATTGTAAGCCTACATTACATTTATTTAGTGTGGATATAAATGTTTTCACAAGGGTTAATGCAGTGGAAATAAATATCCTTTGACTCTGAGTTGTTTAGAAATCAGTGTACCTTTAACAGGGCACAGGGTTAGCACATCCAATTGTTACAAATTTGCAAAAAGAGCAGTAATATATAAAACAACAATGTACAACCACTCTCCATGTGCTTGAATGGAAAATTGAGACCCTCAAAGCATTTGATATCCCAGAAAAGTTACAACAGGAGTCTTCCATAAAAATGTGCCACAGGGTCTTACACGTTCCTACAGTCAGAAATGTTACCCGTTTGGAAGCCAAAATAAACTGAACCAAACAAGTTGTTCACATCTCCACTGGATTAGCAATACATTTTATCTTTGGATAAAGACATTTTTGATCCTCTATGATCAGGGTGACAACTCATATGAACTGACTAGAATATGGGGTTACAACAACCCCTGAGAAAGGAAAGAGCAATATAATTGGCAAAGTACCTCCTTTGCATCTTGATGGGAAATTATCCTAATAAATAACCATGCTTACATAAATAATGACTTAAAAGAGAAGAATTTTTATGAGTAATTATGATGCCTCACTTGTAAAAAATAATTATGAAAAATCATTTCTGCTTCAGTCAACCTGTTTGGTAGCTCAGGATGATTGAATTTTATGGAGAAGGTTGTGTAATGATGTGTTTTCTTTCTGGTAACTAAATCACCTTAAATTAAATTTATTAAAGTAAATTCAGACACACAAGTTAGGTAAGGTAATATTTTTTATCGGGCCAAGTTTTCAAGTTACACAGAGCTTTTCTTCAGAGCTCAAAACCTTGGTTTGATAAAACTCACCTTGTCTCTTTAAAGGGTATGTCTATACTGCAAAGTTAATTCGAAATAACAGCTGTTATTTCGAATTAACTTTGCAGTATAGACATACCCTTTAAAGAGACAAGGTGAGTTTTATCAAACCAAGGTTTTGAGCTCTGAAGAAAAGCTCTGTGTAACTTGAAAACTTGGCCCGATAAAAAATATTACCTTACCTAACTTGTGTGTCTGAATTTACTTTAATAAATTTAATTTAAGGTGATTTAGTTACCAGAAAGAAAACACATCATTACACAACCTTCTCCATAAAATTCAATCATCCTGAGCTACCAAACAGGTTGACTGAAGCAGAAATGATTTTTCATAATTATTTTTTACAAGTGAGGCATCATAATTACTCATAAAAATTCTTCTCTTTTAAGTCATTATTTATGTAAGCATGGTTATTTATTAGGATAATTTCCCATCAAGATGCAAAGGAGGTACTTTGCCAATTATATTGCTCTTTCCTTTCTCAGGGGTTGTTGTAACCCCATATTCTAGTCAGTTCATATGAGTTGTCACCCTGATCATAGAGGATCAAAAATGTCTTTATCCAAAGATAAAATGTATTGCTAATCCAGTGGAGATGTGAACAACTTGTTTGGTTCAGTTTATTTTGGCTTCCAAAGCCACATGCGAACCCAGGAGCAGGTTTGCATGAAAATCAAGTTGGTCTGGAGAGACCCCCGCAACCCTGGGCCCTGAGCTTCCCCTCACTCTTCTTCCCCTTGCTTCCCACTTCCAGCTCCCTCTTCCCAGGTTTCGTCCTCTCCTCTCCCACCCTCTCTCTTCTCCTCTCCCACCTCCTTTTCCCAGTCTCCCCAGAGGTTCATCCCCCTCTCAGTTTTGTTCAATAAACTCAGTTTCTATTTTTGAAAATGTGTCTTTTGTTTGACATCAGGAAGGGGGGCTAAGGAGGGGTAAGTGGAAGGACGTGAGGGAGGAATGGGGCATGAGCTCCCAGTGGGGAGGACCGGGGTGGCTCTGAGGGGTGGATGATCTCCTGCAGGGCCTCCTGGATCCTGACAGCCCTCTGATGGAGCCCCCGGATGGCAGCCTGCAGCAAGTGCAGCCGGGCTGATGGCAATGACCCCACGAGACACACCGGCATGCCCAGGGGCAGCTCTGGCTCCATGTGACCGAGTGCTGTGGTGTCCCGAGTGTGGGCATTCAGGGCACTCCGAGACAGGACTGCTTTGCTGTCCCTCATCGAGGTAGACAAGCAAGCGGAGAACCCTGAGAACTGTCTGTCCGGGGTGGGGGGTAGGGTCCCTTTAAGCATAGAGCTCAGTTAGCCTCAGGCAGCAGCTTCACACACTTAAGTCCTAACCTACTGCCTTGCCGGCACTGGTTCCGGCCAGCCTTAACTTCAGTTCACTCCGTGTGGACGCGCTATTTCAAAATAGGTTTTGTGTGTAGATGTGTTCATTTAAATTAGCTTAATTCAAATTAACTATTTAGAATTACGTTAACTTGAATTAACACTGTAGTATAGAAGTACCCTTTCATATTCTAGGACTGGCTGCAGCTACAACACTGTAAGAGAAAGAAAATTGATGTGTAAAATTCAACTTTTGAAACCGTAGAATGGAATTAATACTTGGTCTATAGAAACAATATCTCTTTGACCTGCCAAAGAGGCATATTATGCATCTGTCATGCTGTTTATAAAAAAAATTCCAATAGTCTGTAAGTCTTTGAAGTTGTCTACAGATAATAATGCATAACTTAAGTTTTTCAAATTATACAAAAAGTCCATATATTGAAAAAGCATTCTGAAACCAATCATGTAATTATAAAACTAAGTGAAAATGGTGTGTCAAAGCACAAGACCTAGCTTGCTATGAAACTTTCCAGCAACACCTGTCTGAAAAACAGGTGAAAAATATTGTCTGATAGAATCATTGATAGTCAAGAGTATTGGGATCAATTTAAAAATAACATTTACAGCACATGTGCTGAAACCATAGAATATTGCACTTATCAGCACTAAGACACGTTTGAAAAAAATGAGAAAATCCTAGCATTAATTCAATACAGAAGAAATGTATTGTCACTGGTAAAATGATTCCTCTAATCAGTGAAAACATGAGGCTTTTCATCTGCTCAAAGCCAAAGTCCAAAGGAGACAATGTGACAACAAAAACAAGTGGTGGCAAGAAAAGGCTTCTGAGATGCAGGGTTTTATAGACCTAGATGATATGAGGAGACGCTTTGAAGCAACAAAAGCTATATATGGGTAAAACTCCAAAGGCCCAACTACTTACATTCGCAGGATGGCTCCACCCTCCTCGAGGACAATGCAGACATCAAACCACTCAAAGGAGTACTTTGGGATCCTACTAAACAGCTAATCCAGTCTCTGAAGACACCATTGAGTTCACTCCACGATGCTCAGCAATGAAACACCTTGCTGAGACTCCATATTTTGAGGAAGTCTGGCTTACCATCACCCAGGTAAAAATCACAAGGCACCAGCTGTGGTTTTAGAAGTTGCCAGAACAATGCTCCAGCACCAACTTTGCCAACTCCTTAATACAATCTGAACCTGGTACAAAATTCCATCTGATTTTAAGAACACTAATATTGTTACAATATCCAAGAAAGGGGACAAATGTTTGTGCAGGAACTACAGAGGTATTGCCCTCTTCTCCATTGCAGGGGAGATCCTTGCCTCTGGATCCTATTAAACTGCATCCTGCCCTTTGCCGAGAAACTTCTCCCAGAATCACAGTGTGGCTTCGGGCCATCTTCAGTCACGTTATTTCGAAATAATAGACTGCTTATTTTGAAATCTGTAATCCTGCTTTCCTTGGGAAATTAGTTATTTTGGGAGTTATTATTTTGAATGTAGACATTTCAAAATAATTTCCTAGTGGAGACATGCCCATAGATGCACTAATGTAAAACTGTGCTGGGTTGATGTGAGTTACTTGTGGAATCTTCCTTTTTTGCAGCCCACCTGTATTATGGATTTGTACACCATCAGTCTGGTTACATTGGTGCAAAAATTTAGACAAGCTTTTAATTTAAGGCTTCAGAGAAGATGCGGACTGCTCATTCATATACTAAAGAGTTAATGTGATTGGATCAGAAGGATAGTTTCTTTGGTGGCAGGGGCGGGGGCTCTAAAAATTGCCATCCATGATTGCCACTTGTTATCCTTTTGTCAGTTTTTCTTTCCCAACTAGCCAAATAGCCCGTCATAAGACGGGATTTTCAGGTCTCTCCTCCAGGTTGGTCTTCTCTCCTGAGCCTCCAGTCTCTTGCTCCATCTCTCTCTCTCTCTCTCTCTCTCTCCCTCCTCCTACTGCTTCCCCCTCTCTCTCAGCTCTCCTTCACCTCCTGCCTCTCTCTCTGTCTCTCTCTCTCTCTTTCTCTCTCCCTCCTCCTACTGCCTCCCCCTCTCTCTCAGCTCTCCTCCACCTCCTGCCTCTCTCTCTGTCTCTCTCTTTCTCTTCTCCTCCCTATCCTGCCTCTCACTTGGAGGACCACGGAGCCCAAACGGCCCGTGCTGCATGAGGAGCGTGGAGCCCAAATGGTTGCTTGCGCCGCTTGCTCCCACGTGGCGGCCTGGCTGAGCAGCGCAGAAGTGGAGGTGGAGCCTGATCGTTTTTGCTACAATGTTTCTGTTTTTGCTCCTTAATTATCCTCTTATCACAGGAATCCTATTAGTTACTCATTATTCTAAATATAGGTTGGGCTCCACAATTAATAGTTTCATGTATCCAGGGTAGTGACGTACACGGCCCCACCCCCTGGCCGTGTACGTCACTGCCCCACACCTTCCCCTCCCGCTGTGGCACTCGGCTGAGTGCTGCGCTGCTCAGCTGGGCGGCGGCGGGGGAGCAAGCGGCGGCAAGCGGCCGTTTGGGGTCCGCGCTCCCCATGCAGCACTGCAGGAGGCAAGAGCAGCCCCCAGAGGCGAGTCTATAACACTACAGCAGCATTACAGACTCACAGACATTGGGCTACTATATATATAATGTAACTAAATAGTAATGATTCAGTAACTTTATTGTTATCCAACAGATGTCTGTTTGAAAACTGAGACAATTTTTCACTTTGCTCTAGTACAGTTGTCCACTGTTTTTCTTTTGTTTTCATTACAGTGTCTTTACCCAAAATATTTCGTCAATCATCATGGGAATGAAGACTTGCAGATAGGGCAGAAGCTTCTCTTCACTGGGAAAAGAGCAGATCATTTGCTGCTTTTGTACTGCTTCCCAGCTCACCATGACCTTGATGTTGCTGTGTGTGAGCTGCCCACTGTCAGTTCCTAGTCATCTTCAATTAACAGAACTAGTGTGTCTTTCTGCCTTGTCATTTCACAAGTTTTGTGTGAAGCAGCAATGAGTTGAATAACGTCCATCCTGAATTTGGAAATAGGCATATCTTGTGTGTGACCATTTATAAAAGGAGACTTCCTGGATTGCAACAATATTTAGTCATAAGTTCATTTTTAAATACTATTACTGTCCCTGTGCAACATAAAAATTAGTTGTTTTTTAGTTGCTCAGTTCTAGCAATATCGCACACAAATTAGAACTAACATTTTTCAGCCAGATTTTCTTTTACAAAAGCCCGTTCCAAATTCTTTGAATGGATAACACAGGATTTGAACTGAATGAAGAGAGAATACAAAGTTCCTCACAGAAAAAGGAATGGACAAAGCAAGAAATACCAGTAAGTTCCTTTTTTGCAATTATTTAGAACATCAAATAAGAATGAGGGTTGAGGCTTAATATCTTGTGTCACGATATAGTAAAATAATGTACACAAATATACCATGAAGTGAAATCTTCCTAATTCTCACTTTGCTAACTGGCAAATATAATAAGAAATTGCGGTAGCTTTGCATCACTTAACAAAGATGTGATAGTAGAAAGCTTAATTACACACACATTCAACTGATTTAACTAAATTCACTTCTAGATTGAAGTGCAAACACCAGAAATGGGTGTTTGGTTGCAGTGTAGACATACTCTAAAACTGTTTCATTTACAGGGAGTTTGTGGTTAGTACTTAGCTGCCTTCCCAGCAGCTTTAGGCTATAAATATACCAGGGTTAGCAACTCCACAGTGACCCAACTGATTTTACACATTAGGCATTTTTAGTGAGACCTAATGTGCTATAACAGTTTTATTAAATAGTTTAGGTTCAAATATTGATTAGTAACAATCCTCAGAGAGCCCTCATCATAGAGGAAAAAATATTAGATCATATTGCATCCGAAGTTCTGATTTGCAGTGCATTGAACACACATTACCTTATAGTATCTCTATGTCAATCCCACAGTTCTAAACTTGTATTAAAAATACCCATATATTCAACATCATGGTAACTGGTTTATTGGAGCATAAGCTTTCGTGGGCAAAGACCCACTTTGTCAGATGCAGGTCACATGTGACCTGCATCTGACAAAGTGGGTCTTTGCCCACGAAAGCTTATGCTCCAATAAACCAGTTACCATGATGTTGAATATATGGGTATTTTTAATACAAGTTTAGAACTGTGGGATTGACATAGAGATACTATAAGGTAATGTGTGTTCAATGCACTACAAATCAGAACTTCGGATGCAATATGATCTAATATTTTTTCCTCTATGATGAGGGCTCTCTGAGGATTGTTACTAATCAATATTTGAACCTAAACTATTTAATAACAGAATATGTGAATGTGTCTAAAGGAAGACAGTTGTGTAACGGAATATGGTAATATTTCACACTCTCTTTTTTGTTTTATTTTCAGTGAGAGTTGTTGCCAAACAGATTTAAGGAACATGTTACTGTTATAGGTCTGTCATGAGGTCCACTCCACTAGGGACCTCTTCCTGGCCCCTCTGGAATCAGCTCCTTTCAGGGCCATTATCCCCTTCTTCTGCTTATTGTTTATTCTATTGCCACTTTCCCTCTCTCTACATTTACCAACCCAAACTCCCTCCTTCCAGAGAGTATCTGTAGGTTACTCTCCATATCCCCAAACACACCACCTTTCTCCCACAGAACCCATGTCTACACTAGGAAACTATTTCAAAATTACTAAATTCGACTTAAGAACTCCCGATTTAACAAATTTGAACTAGCAAATCCACTTTATGGGAAGCCTCAAAATTAGTCTGAGGCAGGTACCATTAATGTGGACACACTACTTTGACTTAGAGTCCCAGGAAGCACCGGGGAGTAATTAGGTCGAATTACTCTGTGGAATAGTTATTTTGAAATAGCAGCACCAGAGCGTCCACACTTCTGCTATTTCAAAATAACTATTTCAAAATTAGCATTACTTCTGATGAAAAGCAGAAGTACAGAATTCGAATTCCTTGGCCCATTATTTCAAAATAACAGGCTTGGTAGTATGGACGCACCATTATGAATTTGAACTGGTGGGGAGGGTTATTTTGAAAAAAGGTCCTGGTGTAGACCAGGGCCGAGTAAACAGCCACTCCCCGAGTTATGAACACCTCCACTTATGACCATCTGCACTTACGACCAAAGCGGTCGTAAATGCAGATCCGAGTTACGAACGGTGATCTGTGCTTACGAACAGCGCGGTCACCATGTAACTCTATGGGATCCGAGTTACGAACATTTCGAGTCCGTAACCTGTTTATAACTCTGGGAGTGGCTGTATGCAAACAACTCCCCTGCAAACCTATTTTGCCCTTATCAATTCCCTGCTTCCAGCACAATTAATGGGCCTAACTGGCCACTGACTGACTACCTTGACCTTTTTCAGTATTGAGTGGGGGTGCTCGAAAATGTTGTCTATCTTATTTTGTTAAGGGCTGCAGAAGTTTAAGCAGCTGGGGTGTGAAAGATTAAACAATACAGTTTGAAAAGCAATCTGTAGGGATAGATTGCACCCTCAGCAAGTTTGTGGATGAGACACAGTTAGGGGGAGAGGTAGATATGTTGGAGGGTAGATAGGGTCCAGAGTGACCTAGACAAATTGGAGGATTGGGCCAAAAGAAATCTGATGAAGTACAACAAGGACAAGTTCAGAGTCCTGCCTTGGGATGGAAGAATCCCAAGCATTGTTACAGGATGGGGACTGACTGGCTAAGTAGCAGTTCAGCAGAAAAGGACCTGGGGATTACAGTGGATGAAAAGCTGGATATGCTTCTCAGTGTACCCTAGTAGCCAAGAAGGCTAATGTGTTCCTTGCATGCAGCAGTGCTTTTCCGGGATACCTCCGGTGTCCCAGAAAAGCGCTGCAGTCTAGACGTAGCCGGGTAGATCCCGGATCTATTCTGTAAGCCTTGATCACATGAGGAGTGTTTACATTGATAGGCACTAAAGAAAGCTCCTACATAGGAAGGAAAAGGGAGTAGAATGTGTGTAACTCATGAATCAAGTCTGTAGTATTCAGCCCTTGTGTGAAAGGCTTCTAAGATTTATTCATAGTTTCATAAACATCAAGCCTGAAAGGGGAATTAGAGCATCTAGTCTGACCTACTATATGACAGAGGTTATAAAAATGTCATGCAGTTACTCCTGTTAGTTCTGAATCCACTAACTTGTTTGACAAAAGCATATGTTCAGGAAACGTATCCAATGTCTTGATTACACAGGTAACATTGTATTAATTGTTGTTCTGTTTGTGAACTAACAACATTGGTTTTTCAATTGTCCTGTAGGAAAGAAAGAGTCGCTGGTCGCTAATGAACATCTTTCTAATTTGTCTCTTGGCCTGCATAATCTCCACCATCGTAGGAGTGCTGATTTTCTCCTTGGTCTTCATTAATAACACTAGATTTATGACAGAGCAAAATCTTCAAAAACATGAAATAATCTCTCCAAAACCACCAATAAGAACGTCAGACAAAAAAAAAGTAGACGTCAAATTCCAGTTTCTGAATCATCTGAGTAAATCTAAGGTAGCAGTTGTTCTTCTTACAAAACAGTATTATTGTACTCAATGTAGAAGTTTAGGGCCAAATTTTCAGACTGGCTTTTTTGGGGGCGGGAAGGGTTTCTCTCCTTTTCTTCCCACAGAATTGCAGGCACAAAGAGATTTATGGGTTTTATTGAATGATAAATAATCCAAAATATTTATATCTTTTGGGCATCTCATTATCTGCACCCACAAATAACTATAACCAGAACTATAGACGCAAAGGGAAGTCAGTTTTTGAAATGTAGCAGTGAAACTGCAAAATGTGAAACCATGTTACACATTTTTGTAAAGCTAGACTATAAATAGAAGCCAGTTAGTTGAAATTACAAATCTTGAGAACCGAGCTAAAATGTATGGGAAATGATCATCATTTGCAGTGGATGTGTTCCTGACACACCGTGAATGGCGAAATTTGCAAATACTGGAAGCTGCAACTCTGGCCCCTGTGGTGAACTCCCTGTGGCTATTGAACTCACTTCAGGCATTAGGAGCTGCAGAGAAACTCACTACAGCTGCTGGAAGCCCCAACAGCCACGAGGAACTCACCACAGCTCAGGGGAGCCCCAAAGCACCAGAGGCCAGGAGCTTCAGTGAGTTTCCTATGGCTCCTGGCTCCCCGTCGCCCTATTAGACCAGGACAGGAGACCCCCATGAATAAGCAGAATCGTGAACCGTAGAATAAACATGAATGTAATGATCTCATTTCAGTCTCAGGCATTTTGCTGGATTTACAGCCTTGTAGTTTATGTACAAAAGAAACAGATTACTTCATAGTTTATTCTCTTCATTACTTCAGAGTTTAATTTTTCAAAATTTATTGAACTTTTTTTTTTTTTTTAAGAAATTGACCCATTTTAAAAGGACTCCCTTTTTCACAGAGCCAGGTGTTAAAGGCTTTCTCTACACTGCAGGGTTTTTGTGCAAGAAACTTTTTGTGGAAGAGATCTGCAAAAACTTCTTGTGCAAAAGTGCACCCACACCTCAAAAGTGCATCGCAAAAGCAACGTGCTTTTATACAAGAGAGTGTCCACACTGCATGGACGCTCTTGCACAAGAAAGTTCTGATGGCCATTCTGCGAATGGCCATCAGAGCACCTGTGCTTTTTGTGATAGGCTCTTTTTGCGCAGGAATTCTTGTTATTCCTTGTAGAAAGAGGTATACCTACACCACAAAAAGCCCACTTTTCTGCCATTTTATTGTCCATTTTCTTGCGCAAAAACACACTTGAGGTGTGGACGCTCCTCCGGTTTTTGTGCAGAAACCCTATAGTGTAGACATAGCCAAAGTGTATAGTCTGACTCTCTTTACAAATTCTTTAAAAGTATATTTATAAGGATATTTCTGATCTTTTGCTCATGTTTATAAGGGTTTTACCTGCAAAAGAGAAAATGATTGCTGAGTCAGTGGAGAGTTAAACTGATATACAGTGCTGTCAGATACATAAATTAAAAGAACAAAAAAAAATTCTAATTTCTTTTAATTCTGATATTCCTAGGCATTAGCTGTAACTTTAGGCACTGTAAACCATATGTCCTTTTCAAGATTACAGTGTCCCTTTAATATGCTTTCCCAATGTATGGTGACTTTTTAAACTTATTTGATTTATTCTAAATGGAGTTCAAATAAATGGGAAGAAACAGTTCCTGGCACAAAGGGTTTACACTCTAAGACCCTGATCCAGGAAAACATTCTCTTCAGGAGGGCTGCTTAAAAATCTGCTTAATTTTAAGCATATACTTAAGTGCTTTCCTAAATCAGTGTTTAAAAAGACAAAACAAAGAGAAGAGGGAATAGAGGAATTGCTTAGTTTTTGAAAGCTGATACTCACCAGCTGATTCTGGTGAAATCCTGGTTCTACTGAAGTCAACTTGTGTTTCTCATTGTTTTTGTTTTTGTTTGATATGGTGAAATCCTGGTTCTACTGAAGTCATCTTGTGTTTCTCCATTGTTTTTTATTTTGTTTGATGCACCTAACCTAATTGTTAGCCATTAATTTTGCTTAGAGTTTTGTCTTAGAACCACTGCTCATCAGTCATCGTAAACAAATGGTTTTGTAGCAATTTGATTTATGAAGGTATATGTGGACTCATCAAAATTGTACTAAAATGCACAAAGAGAGAAGCCTCACCAAGGGTGGAAGATTTCCCCAAGTTTTCCACAAATTTAATGTTTTCATAAAAAGTAATGTTCTGAAATCTTCCCTCCATATTTTTTCTTTATTTCCCCGCTGGCCATGCCTTTTTTCGATACTTGTAAAGAATAACTTATGTCTCTAATTGCCAGGTATTTCAGTTTCCTGGGGGTGATATTCAGTGGGCCAGATTTAGGTCTGATGCAAATGATTATCACAGTGAGGAGGAAATGGAATTTGGAACAAGCATCAACAATCAGAGGTCTAAGATGACTTTTGGAACATTACGGATCAAGGGCAAAGGTCTCCGAGCCCCCCACTGGCATTTTAATGCCAATGAACAGGGCTTTCTCCTAAAGGTACAACCTGATTATTCTAAAACACCTGTTGTAAATTTTTGAGGGAAGCATGATGCCAGTCTGTGGTCCTATATACAAATGTTAATAAATAATGACAGCACTATCAGTGGTTAATGTGTGTTATATTTTTATACCTTAGTGTATGAAATTATTAGGGCTATCAATTGACCTGCATTAACACCTGTGATTAACGCAGGACAGGATTAACACGTTAAAAAAATTAATGCATTAATCACATGCATTAATGCTGCACTGCCTCTAATGCGCTGCCCCTTTAAAGTGTCAAAATGGCACTTCAAAGGCGCAGCACAAGCGGAGATGGGGATCAGCTGGAGTCCCCAGCTGATCCCCGTCTCTGCTGTTGCAAAGTCCCTTTGAAGTGCCGAAGCGGACTCCATCTGATCCCTGTCTCTGCTTGCACTGCTCCTTTGAAGTGCCATGCTTGGTGCCTTAAAGGGGAAGCTTTGCATAAAGCCTGGGGTCAACTGGGGACTCCAGCTGATCCTGGGCTCCATGCAGCACTGCCCCATTGAAATGCGTCCGTGGCATTTCAAAGGGGAGTTGCACGCGATTAATTGCAGTTAAAATTTTTAATCACTTGACAGCCCTAGAAATCATAGTCTTATATGGCCTGATTTGCAGACATTCTGAATACTCCCAGCGCTGGCCAAAGTGTAACAGTTGCATTCAGTGGAAATTGTGCACATTCTGCACTTCTAAAAACTCGGTCACTTATCAGGGAGCCTGCGCATGACTTAGGTGCTTAATATTAGGCACCTAAATTTGAAAACATTTGTCTTATATCCTCTGGCTATCCATTTCTACATCTGTAAAATAGAGATAGTAAAAGTTACATGAGATACAATACAGGTTGTGCCTCCTTGAACCAGGACTCTCTGGTCCGGCAACATCCGTTGTCTGGCAGGACCAGGGATGTTCTGGACCACAGAGCTCAGGTATAGGGAGGCAAGGCCGTGGGGCAGGAGTGCAGTGGAGAGGGTGGCAACTCACCTGGGAGCCCCATGTGGGGTGGGACACGCAGAGGGACGAGTGGCTCAGCAGAGAGTTCTGCGCCCTATAGCCAGGAGGTAGCAGGGGTTGGCAGCAGCTGCAGAGCTCTGGCCCCAACTGCATCCAGGGAGCATCAGACCCAGCCGCAGAGCTTGGGGTCCAGCAGCAGCTGTGAAACTTTGGCCATGGAGCTCCGTGTCTGGCAGTGGCTGCAGAGCTCCAGCCACAGATCTCAGGGGCTAGCTGTGGAGCTCTGGCTATGAATCCCGGGGTCTTGCAGGGACTGCAGCTGCTAGGGAGCTCCAGCCTGGGGATCCACAGCCAGGCAGGCAGCAGCAGTGCTGGACTGGAGCCCTAGCAGGGGGCAGGAGTTCAGCACAGGCCATGTTGGGGAACCTCCCCTGGTATGGCAAATCCCCTTATTCGAGACTGGTCAGGTCCTGAGGGTGCCAGATGAGAGAGGTCCAACTTGTACAGGGGCTATTGTGAAAATAATTAGAAACTATATCTAATTTTGAAAACAAAGTCATATGTACTTTGAAGAATTGACTCTTGAATATACTTAGAATAATAACATTTTTATTATTAAATATTTAATATTTATGTCACATTCAAACTCAAAGGCGCCTTCCAACAATTTATTGCTGAATGCACTGTTCTTGATTTGGTCTCTCAAAAGCAGAGTAAGAGTGGGACTATCACCAGAGTGGCTGCCACAAGTCACATGTATACTTGAATTATTAGAATGTAACCAATATCGTTTATGAGCTGACTATGGAAAAAACTAATGTTTGCTTCTTTCTTTCATGACTAAGTTCTACTACTCTGCCTGTATTTCAGGGTAGTGCCTGGATTGGCATTGTTGATGCTGGTGGTAGCATAGTAACCACATACAATGTTACAGCAGGCCAAGTGATTTTCTTCCCTAAAAACACATTGCATTGGGTAAAGAATGTGGGAGAAGATGACTGTTTGTTCCTTTTGTTTTTCACAACACATGAAGAACTTCAAACCTTGGATGTTGATGATGTATTTTTCTCTACACCAGAAGACATAGCAGCAAGATCATTAAAGGTTTGAACAGTAGCTTACACAACCCTGTCTTGCTGAAAATAATCTCCAGAGGGTCCAACCTTGCCCCTTATCAATTTCTGGTGGATTCCCTCTTTTCCTGGGTCCCCTGTCTCCCACCTGCAAGGATGTGTATGCCCCCAGTGTAGAAGTGTCCTCTCATCCTTAGAACAAGTCCTTGTCACAGTGGGGCAAGGGTCAATGGAGACAGCATATAGGCTCACAGTATCTTCTGGATCCATGGGAATCTTAAGGTTATCCTGGTGGAAACTGCATTCCATAGGGAGGAGGCAAAACCTCCCTCCTTCATGGAACAATTTGTAACATCTACCCAGGAAAGAGAGAACTTGCATTTTGTTTTAGTTTCCAGTCTCTTTAGGATTGGAGTGAAGTATACAATCCACTTACAATATGTATAGAGCTAGGAAGTATAAGGGATAATGCATGACAGATCAGACCTTCAATATGTCTTAAAGTCAGAAGCACATTACTTGATCTAGCAGCTCTACTTTTCCTGTTTGCTTCCTGCATTTGCTAACATAACATTTATTGCATGTGTTTTAGCCTCAAGATGGAGTGCATTTCATTAGAACATTCAAGAAACAAACTGAAGATCAGGCCATTAACCTTCCACCAAACTTAGTAGAGCTCGTTCAGAATGCCAGCTATGTGCAGTCTCCAGCCAACCTAGTGTGGCAATACTTCTATAACCTCAAAGGTACAGACCTAAGAGCTTGGTGTATAAGGGTGGGGGGATGTCTCTCTGTTTTGAAGGAAGTACTTCTTCACAAAATGCACAGTCAGTCTGTGGAACTCATTGTCAGGTATGTTGTGAAAGCCAAAACTATCACTAGGGTTCAAAAAAGAATTAGATAAGTTCGTTGAGGATAGGCCCACAAATTGGTTTTAGCCAAGATGATCAGAGATGCAACCCTATGCTCCTAGTATCCCTACCCTTCTGACTGCCAGATGCTGGGACAGGACAACAGGAGGGGTCACTTCATGATTGCCCTGTTTTGTTCATTTCCTTTGAATCCCCTGGCATTTGCCAGTGTTGGAAGACTGAATACTAGGCTAGGGGGATAATTTGTCTAACTTGGTATAGCCATTCGTATGTTCTCATGCTGATAAAATGTAATAAAAATTAAATATGATAGAAAGGAGAAGTAGTAATATAATAGTCTAGAAACAATCTGTACCTTAATAAAAGAGACAGTATTGAGCCGGAATTACTAACATCGTCTTGTACATAAATGATGATATACTCTCTGTAATTGCTGCTGTCTGAAGCTGTTTTACTCCATTGATTTTAGTGGTTTACTGCGAAAGGAGAATTGAAGCTGTTTTACTCCATTGATTTTAGTGGTTTACTGTGAAAGGAGAATCAGTAAGTAACAGTGCACCAACTTAGGTACTGTATCCATATAAGACCAGGCAGAAATTTCAAACATAAAGTTCTGTGGGGTTGTCTTTATCCTGAAGTATAACATGCCCAGTGCTACAGTGGGACCTAAGAAATAGCTAACATTTAACCCACCTGTATTTTTCATACAAGAGATAATAAATTCTCATTAAAGGGTCTGTGGCCTTTGAAATACAGGATAGGGTTGTTGAGAGGGAAGGGTATTGTGACTCCGATTTTTAGAATTTTTTGCATAGTTTGCATGTGAATTTGCAGTGAATAAGCACTATACAAACAAATACCTGATAACTCTCTTCATACTCATGAACAAATAGCACAACCTATCCAATGACTATAAACAGAGTTTAGTTGGCTGTCACAAAAATGTTAGCAAGTCACTTTTTTGTGTTAAACAATCAGCGCTATTGCCCAGGCCTATTAATGTCAAAGAGCTAATTGACATAAATGCAAGACTTGAGAAAGTAGATTTCCAGACACAACCTGTTGAGGTGGCCATGGATATTAGAAAGAGGAAGATGTAAGCCCAAATTCTCAGCTACAGGCAATGCAACTCAGAATTTTTGTATGTATTGGTGATCTTGGCACTCTCTTGATTCTGTGCCATCTGTTCTTTACTCTAATTCTCTACCATAATTTAGAGCAGCCTAAATTACACCATGTCAACTTCTATGTAATATCTCAAGGGTCTATTATTTCAACTAAGAATTGGCCAGATTTCACAGACACCCCAGACATGAGTATGCACCTTCCATCGACATGGCCTTAGGATTGGCACTCACTGTGAGCTCAAATGAAAAGTAATTGTTCTGGTGGCAATGATTCCAGCTGTCCTGAATTCTGCCAGGTGTTTAATCATCAGGAGTGAAGGGTGCTCAGCATCTCCCAGGAAATGCTCTAGTATTCTACCTTGAGCATACTAAGGGTATGTCTACACTACAGGACAAGGTCGAATTAAGACACGCAACTTCAGCTACATTAATTGTGTAGCTGGAGTTAAAATACCCTAGCTCAAATTTTGACACTGTCCACACTGCAGTAAGTCAAAAGGAGCACAGTTGTCAGTAATATCAATGAATATATTGCTAGTTATTAATCTTAATCTAAAATAAAGTCTGATTTCAAATTTCTTATTATTTGTACAACTGCTGCTTGCATGTGTGAGAGTGGGGTACTATGCAAGTATAAACCACTGGTCAGTCTGTGTTATACATCCCCTACTGGTAACTGTTTCACAAAGGATAGGAGTCTGTTACTGGCTAAAGGTAGATGCTCACACTCATGCTTTTAGCATCAGATGTCACAAATTCAGTTCCTAGTGAGGATCCATGATCTCAATCTCATGCTTTTAGCATCAGATGTCACAAATTCAGTTCCTAATGAGGAAGCAACTATCAGAGTAGCTTTAGTACATCTTCAGGCAATTAATTACTAATCATATATGGGAATATTTTCTAGTAATTTGCATTTAACTGTCATTCATTCAGATTCAACAGAATTCAAACTTCCAGGAGGAGTAATTCAATGGGCTCGCTATCGCAAAAATGGAGCTGGTCTAAATGACAATGAGAAAATCTTCAGTGACTCACTGCAAAGGGTATGTATATTCAGTAGGGCATTCTAGTTGCTGAGACAAAGTAACATGCAAAGCATGTGAGTTCATCATCACTGTCAAACACAGCTAAGATGTTGCCATACGGGAGGTTGTCTGAATGTTGTGCTTACTTTCCAGCATGAAAATACTCTTACCTTAGCAACTATCAGGATATACAGCAATGGACTACGGCAACCTCATTTCCATTTCAATGCTAACGAGATGGGCTATGTCATTAGTGGCTGTGGAAAGGTAATTTGCTAACTCACATATTTCCAAAATGTATTATGTTAATCCTTTCACCAAGGCAAAGAAGTTGAAACTTTTGATGAATCCCTTTTCCCTATATGGCGAGTTGAATAATAGTAGCTACAGTCCTCCCTTGTGGATTCCTGTCTGGTGCTCCACTGAAGCCAGTGGTTTTGTGCTAGCAGATCTCAGTGTAGAACAAGGGCCGAAATTCTTATTAATCTGATGATGACTGGGCATGTACTGTTCAGTATTTGAACATTTTCCAGCAAGGAATAACTGATGCATCTCTTGTTTAGGTGGGAATTATTGTTTCATCTAAAATTACCACTGACTTTGACATTGGCATTGGTGATGTTGTATTTTTCCCCATTGGCACACAACATTACATTAAGAGCACATGTGATGAGGATTTGCTTATGATTCTAGCATTCAGCACAGGCAACCAGGTAAGAATTCATAATGGTAAGTACTGTATAAGTAGCGGGAAAAAGAATAAATTGGGCTTATTCCCTGATTGTATAAGCATAAGATAATCACTTACCTTACACATACTAACTTTACATACTCAGTTGCTCTGATTCAGTAATCTACTTGTTGTTTTAGCATTAAAAACAATTGTTTTTTAAAGAACACAATCATTCTTAAACAGAAATTTGTCTTTGCCCAGTCCACAAAAAATGGTGTATCTGGAAAAAGAGTTAAGATTTTAATAGCTTTGATGAAAAGTACTATGCAAATGCTAAGTTTTTTATTGTTTATGATATTTTTATGATGTGTGTGCTCATTAATCACGTGGGCTTTGTCTAGACTGGCAAGTTTTTCCACAAAAGAAAGTGCTTTTGCGGAAAAACTTGCCAGCTGTCTACATTGGCCACTTGAATTTGCACAAGAACACTGACAATCTACTGTAAGATTGTCAGTGTTCTTGTGCAAATACTATGCTGCTCCCATTCGGGAAAAAGCCCTCTAGCACAAATGTATTTGTGCAAGAGAGCCAGTGCAGACAGCTAAAAAGTGTTTTGCGCAAAAAAGCCCCGATGGCGAAAATGGCAATTGGGGCTTTCTTGCGCAAAACTGTGTCTAGATTGTCACGGACACTTTTCTGCAAAAAGTGCTTTTGTGCAAAAGCATCCATGCCAATCTAGATGCTCTTTTCCGCAAATGCTTTTAACGGAAAAACTTTTCCATTAAAAGCATTTGCGGAAAATCATGCCAGTCTGGACATAGCCACGGTGTTTTACTCAATTTATTTTAATGTTCTGGACTGTTAATAGGCTTACAAAATGATCATTTAATAATTAATTATTTCTATTTGAAATACGTTATTTCCTATAGCTGCAAACCCTTGATATGGATGACTACTTCCATGCCACAGCAGATCATATTCTCGCCCAGCTATTCGTCAAGAAACAACAGGAATTTAAGAAGATCCCAAAGTTTAGTGAGGATCAGGCAATTAACCTGCCATAGCCACTAATATTGTCAAAGATAATTACATTTCACTGCCTTTTTAAAAAAAAGTATCTTACCTTTCTTGCTGTTTATCTGGGAGAGCAGTTCAGAAAACAAAGTAATCTCATTTTAATATTTGTATGTAGTTATTTTAGTTGGTATTTGAGACACAGTATTGTTTAAAGTATTTTGCAAGTAAAGGTGAGGCCTGCCCTTCAGATTAAATTTTTAAAATTTGCTTTGTTCCATTTATTAATTCATACACTTTGTCTCACTTTACTTTTCCCATCAAAGTACTTTAATTTACATTGCTGCACACATTCACTGTGTTTAAACTCCACACCATTCATATACAGTGTGGACATCATTCTTTGATCTCTTGATTGAAATTACTCCACAAACGCTAGTCAAACAAACAGGGCACTGGATATGGACTCAGGAGACCTGGCTTTTAATCCTGGTGCTGCCCGCAAACTGCTGTGTGACCTTCATCAAGACACTACATCTTTTTGTGCTTCTATTTCCCCTTTTTCTTCTCTGTCAGTTTAAACTATGGCTCTAAGGCACTGACTGTTTCTTACCATGTGCAGCGCCTAGCACAATGCAGTCCATTTCTCAGTTAGATGTTCTCACCTGCTACTAAAATAGAAATAGTCATCTCTGTCTGAATGCAAGTTCATTTGTTCAAGAATTCCTCTTAAATGGTAAGTGCTAGGCCTACAAAATTTGGTATACAGCTAACCCTTCTCCTTACTTAAAGCAAGGTCAGGGTTTGGTTGTGCCAGGAGAACCGGAAGCCCCAGGAAAGGGACAGTATTCCATAACATACAGTGGGGGGGACTGCTGTTTGGAGGAACGTGATACAACAGTGGCCACTAGAGGCAGCAAGCCCACATGGGAGACCAACCTGGGGGCAGCTGTAGCACCAAGGGAGTGGCCAGCAGGGTTGGGACTCTGCCATTTTGCCTGCCAGTAGTTCAGGTAAGAGAGGCCCCTCTGCCTGAAAAACAGCTCCCGACAGCTCCCCTGTACCAGGTCGAGCTACTGAGGGGTGGAGAATGAGAGAGCCCCATTGGCCGGCACCAAGCCAAGAAGGGGAAGAGAAAGAGGCCCTGCTGGCTCCCAGGGAGAAGCCGGTGGGCGGGCTATGCAGTCCCCATGTCCTGGGCTGCCCCTGGGGGAAGCCGATGGCTACTCCCACCCCCTGCCCTGAGCTCCTCCTCATCCCCTCCTCACTCCTGCAGCCTCCCATGCCTCCTGTCCTGAGCCCCCCCACATCCTCAAGGCTATGCCCTGACTCCTGCACCCCACCAATGCCAGCCCCCTGCTCTGAAAGACCTGGGTAATGCCAGGTAAGTCTCCTAAGTGATGTCTACATTACAGAGAAGATCAAAGCAGCTGCAGTCAATCTTCTGGGGTTCAAATCAGTGGGTTTAGTGAAGACACACTAATTCAAACTGAGAGGGCACTCCCGCCGATGCCGGTGGTCCTGTTCCTATGAGGTGTAGAGGAAGTCGAAGGGAGAATGTGCTCCCTTGATTTCCTGCAGTGTGGACAGCACCAAAATTCGATTTAATATACTTTGATACAAGCTATGCAATTTACATAGCTCAAGTTGTGTATCTTAATTCGAACTTATCCCCTAGCGTAGACTTAGCCCTAGTAATTAATAGTGATAGATGGCTGCTATGTTATTTTTTAGAACAATTTGAAAGCTCAAACCACAAATTGATTTTGCAGGACCCCAAATTTTGAGAGGCTACAAAATTTTGCAACATTTAGTGTAAATTTTCACTTGATTTTTTCCACGAGTTTTCTGTGGCCTTACTAACTACCCTATGGAGACATATAATGATGGGGTTTATATACACAAATTTTTTTGGGATGTGGATATTTCCATTCTACTTCCTTTGCCTTAGAGTCAGCCTGGCTTAAAATAGTCTCTTTTCGAAGGTATTGTGAACATATTTTGGTGTTAATCCTGTAATGACTATAAATTGAACTGTACTGTTGCCATTTACTGCATTGTAATGAAGTGATCATTGCCTTACATTATGGAGTAAGTGGAATTAACAGTCT